ACAAAAGATAAGGATTAAATACCTACTGCCCAGCTTAGGAAATAAAACAACACTGATGTAATTATAACCCTCTGTAAAGACTGTGTTATTTTCACCATTTACATTGTCAGCACTGAACGCCTCTCCTGGCCCATAATTAGCCTTCAAGAGGTATTCGTTGAACCAAGGTGTGTAATATCATGAGAAGGATGTGTCATCTTATATATTAGATATTACTGTTGAACACGTGCTTTGAGAAAGTTTCCAGTCACGCAGAAAGAGGGCCAGGCGTCCTGAGATATTCACCCACTCCCTGTCTTTTCTCCCTTGAGACCAGGGAAATGTTTCTGAAAAATGTTATTCCTGGGTGGGGTCAAAGCCCTTAAGCCATTGTGATGCTAAGTGGTTCGCGCAGAATAACCCTCAGCTTTGCCTTTTTTATTACCAAGCTCCAACTAACCAAACCATCTTAAATTATCTCAAAGCACTGTGGCCTCTGAGAGCCCCAGACCACACAGAGAAGATGATGATGAGTCTGACTTGCAATATATCAGGACATGTTAAGGACCGCAAGAAGCCATTCTGCACTAGGCAGCAGAAATAGGGCTTCCCAACTTTAGGTCACAAGAGGAAACTCTTCAAATATTTAAATAGGGCTTCCCTGGTGGCGCAGTGGTTGAGAGTCTGCTTGCCGATGCAGGGGACGCGGGTTCGTGCCCCGGTCCGGGAAGATCCCGCATGCCGCGGAGTGGTTAGGTCCGTGAGCCATGGCCACTGAATTTGCGCGGCCACTGAATTTGCGCGTCCAGAGCCTGTGCTCCGCAACGGGAGAAGCCACAACAGTGAGAGGCCCGCGTACCGCAAAAAAAAAAAAAAAAAAAAATATTTAAATAGCCTCTGCCTCTGTTCACATCACAAAATCCCCTCTGGCAGTTCAGTCTCCTGCTTTCAGCATGACTACCTACATCGCACAATAAGTGACGGGAATGTTGTCAGGAGAAATTGGAGGAACAAACCTGGAAATGCAAACTTTGCTCCCAATTCAGAGGTGCTCAGTTCCATCTGGTGATCTTCCTAAGGGATCTTGGGAATTGTGTGACAAATACCCACATCTTAAGAACATGGAAAAAGGCTCTAAAAGGCCTGGGTGTTTTCAATATCTTGGCACTTAAAGGTATCATATAAACTAGGGCGAGTACACTTTTTCTATAAAGGGTCAGAAAGTAAATATTTTCAGCTTTGCAGACCATACAGCCTCTGTCACAATTACTCAGTTCTGTCATTGTATTGGACAAATAGCCATAGACAATATCTAAATGAATGAGTGTAGCTGTGACCAGTAAAACTTTATTTATGGACAACAAAATTTGAATGTCATGTAATTTTCATGTGTCATTAAATAGTATTATTTTAATTTTTTCAACCATTAAAAATTGTAAAAGCCATGCTTCACTTGCAGGCAGAGATAGAGGGCCAGATTTAGCTTATAGATCATACTTTGCCTCCTCAAAGGACATAAATCCTACATATTTTAAAAAATAGAAAGGTGAAGAATGCAGACTCTATTATTACAAATATTCTAAGACCAAAGGGAATTCAGGTTCTCACTCTCTAACATACTTATAGCTGAGAAAATGCAGATTATCAGAGGGGCAAAGGAGAAAGGAATTCAGACCACTGCAGGCAGTCAGCCCCAGAAGTATGAGTGTGGCTCACATCAATTCCATTTGAATATTTCTCTTTTTAAAACTTCCCTGAACTCCTTAACTCCCAACACATGCTAAATATCATTTCATTTTTCTAGCTGTTTTCTCTGATCCCCTATTTTTATCAAATAAGGCTGAAATGGATTCTTCCACTAGTAAGACCTTGATTTTGACAAGTTTATAGAATGGGGTATTTTGTATGCATGCTATGAAATAATGAATGGAAATTAAATCAAGTTTGTCCAATTAAGGGAAGAAAGTAAATGAGCATTTTCATGATAATTCATTTTTTTCATTTTTCCCATTTAAACAATTAAGTTTAATTAGTATAAAACTCTAACCCAACTCTTGGCTGGATTAGTGTCGTCAGACTGTGAAGGCCAGAAATCTGTTGGAAAGTTGAGTTTCCTCCAGATACAGTAGTTCAAGGAAGTGCAGCAGCTTCAGTGGTGAAAAGAATCACAATTCCCATCACTCAGATTAGTTAGAGGCCATTTGCCAAACCACCCACCTTGAAGGACCTCACCCAAGTCCACAGGAACAGAACGGGTAGTGGCTCCAGGGGCTTCTTCCCGCTCTACAGTGCTAACATTTCTTTGTTGGTTATGGAGGAAGGAAGAAGCACGCAGGTGTGCAGAACTTCAAAGGGGAGCTTGTATATGACTTCAGGTCCACGTAGCTTCAACACCTACCTAAAGCCTCGTCCTGGAAATAGGAAAGAGCTTTTCTGATAGCCATAGAATATCCTGGAGTGAACCACATTCATCTTTACCTCCTATCCAGTGTTTCCAAGACTTAACTGCACCAGTGCTTCCTTCATTCTTACGTCCCTTAAGCTCATTTCTCTCCTTGAGAAAACTTAATGCCATTCACTGTCGGCCTCACAGCTACCTTTATAGCTCCCAGTCTGTCTGCATTTCTTTGCAGTTTTCTTCATTCTTCCTCTCCAAGGCCAACTCTTCCATGTGAGCTAGGGGCCCACCAGCTGGTTCTTAATTCAGCATTTTGCTTTTTTCTATCCCCTCTTTCAATTTCTGACTCTCCCTCACAGTTTTCACATTCTCACCACCCACATTTACTTTTTCCTTTTATGTTTTTCTATATTTGTTTACAAAACATGTTGGGATACAGAAAGCAATAAAACAAACACCCATGCAGTTATGAACAGTGTTGCAAAATAGAAACATCTGATGTGTGCAAGTAGAGTTGCTTTACAACTGGTGCCCAAAACATAGATTGTTAAATTGTCTGGTATGTGCATTTCAAGTTTACTAAAAAGTGCCAGTTGCCCTCCCGAATGGTTGTACAGATTTATTCTCTGCTTGAATACCTGTTTCCTCCTAACCTCACCAACACTTGGTTTATCTGACATACCAGTTTTTGCCAAAGGATATAAAATGGAATCTCATTTTTGTCCTTTGCCTTCTTACCTGTGACATTGGAGCATCTTTTCAAGTGTTTATTGGCTATTCACCTTATGTTAGTTGCCTTTTTATATAGTTTGCCCTTTTGCTCTTCCGTTCTTCCTTTTTCTTATGGATTTGTAAGAGTCCTTTGTATATTCTGGATACTAACCCTTTGTTCATCATGTAGGTCATAAATGTCTTTTTTGAAGTCTGTATCTGAATTTTGTCATGCTGATTTCATTTAAATGTTGTAAAACTTAGTCTTTTTATCTTTCGTGCTTTTTGTGCTCTATTTCAGAAATTGTGTCCTATCCAACACCGTAAAAATAATCTTTTGTATTTTATCTATAAAATATTACTGTTTCATATTCATGTCTTTAATCCATCTGGAATGTATTTTTGCTTGATATTCTAATTTTATTTTTTGATATTAGTATTGAATTATCCTAACATCACATTGATTTGTTCATCCTTTTTTAGCATACTGATGTTGAATATGAATTTCCTGTTTACATCTGGGTCCATTTCTAGGTGTTTCACTCACTGTTCTATTTATTTACCCAAGTACCAATTTCACATTGTTTTAACTAACATAGCTTTATAAGGAGACTTGATTTCTGATAGAACAAATCCTTTCTTCCCGTTCTTCACAGTATCATTGCCATTATTTACCCTTTGCTCTTCCATATAAATTTTAGAATATGATTGTCAGGATTGAAAAAGAAGCCCAGTTGATTTCTGGTGGGGGGAATTGCATCTTTGTGATACTGGTAATACTGAGCCATCCACCCATGAGCAGAGTTTTTCTCTCCATTTATTTTGGGTTTTATTTATGCCCTTCAGTAATACGTTATAGTTTTTACATCAAGATCTTGCACATCTTTTTATATATTTATTACTGCCCGTCTTATAGTTTTTGCTGGTATTCTCAATACCTTTTGCTGGTATTCTAAATAACGTTATTCTAAATAACTTTTTTGCTGGTATTCTAAATAAAATAACTTTTTTTTTTTTTTTTTTTGCTGAAGTACAAAAGTGCCATTTTATTCCAATATTGATTTTGTATCCAGCAAGCTTGTTGTTTAACACACTTACGAGTTCTGATTGTTTATGTGTATATTCTCTTAGATTTCCTATTTAGAAAATTAGATTTTGATGATAATAGCTTTATTATTTCCTTAACTATCCATGTAAATTTTATTTCTTTTCCTTGACTTGTTAGCCTAGGACATCTGTATAATGTTGAATAGAAAACATGAATAGCAGTCATGCTTGTCTTGTTCTTAATTCAAAAGAGAATATTTTAGTATTTCACCAGTAAACAGATATGATGTTTGCTTTGGGTCTGTGACAAATACCTATGATCTAGTTAAAAGAAATCTCAAACTAAATTTTCAGAAATTTTGTGCAGCTGTTTTGATGGTCATATCATTTTACTTCTTTAATCCATTAATGTAGTGAATTATTCTCATAGATTTTTCTAATATTTAACCATCCTTGCATTTCCAAGATAAACTCTAATTGGTCATCATATATTTATTTTTATATATTTAGTTGAGATTTTTTTTTTTTTTTTTTTTTTTTTTTTTTTTGCGGTACGCGGGCCTCTCACGGTCGTGGCCCTTCCCGTTGCGGAGCACAGGCTTCGGACGCGCAGGCTCAGCAGCCATGGCTCACGGGCCCAGCCGTGCATGTAGGATCTTCCTGGACCGGGGCACGAACCCGCGTCCCCCGCATCGGCAGGCGGACTCTCATCCACTGCGCCACCAGGGAAGCCCTTTAGTTGAGATTTTTAAAGATTTTTTCCATTATATACTGCCTCATTAATACGCTAGTTTATCTAACTTTCAGAACTTTGCCAATCTGGTAAAAAATAATAATTAAGGATCTGTGCTCCGATCCTTCCCAGGAGAGATCCCAGATCTCTACTCTGACGATGAGATTGAAAACATCATAAGCAATGTGAGGAACGAAGTCAAGACCCAAGGTCTTCTTGACAACAGAGAGAACTGCTGGAAGTTCTTTATAGAGCGGGTCCGACGACGACTGAAGGTACAAGGATTCTCTGCCCGGGGTAGACAGGACCAGAGATGGTCCATGGGAGCCTCTATGGATATTTTGGGCACAATAAGCTGTACTTATGATTGTCTTGGGAGTGAGTGGTTAGGGTGCAAGGCCCTTCTCAGCCTGAGCACCTGTGCAAGGATGCCCTTCTCACGTGCTTCAAGGGCAGTCGCCTCCCTCTTGCCTCCTGAAGTCCCAGCATTTCTAATCCCTTGGCTGGAAAGGCTGCCTAGTATTTACAGATTTTTGTCTCTGTTGATATACTTCCCAATTTCCTGGGAAATAAAGAATCCAAGGCCATGTCTGTCTCTGTAAGTACATCTTGGATACCTTCTTGGTTCTCCCCACCCTTCTGCCTTCTCAGGTGACTCTCTGTTTCTCCCCGGGGGGGACCAAGCTGAGGGTCCGCAGCAGGAAGTTCCCTGCCATCGTGAACTGCACAGCCATCGACTGGTTCCATGAGTGGCCGCAGCAAGCCCTGGAGTCCGTCAGCTTCCGCTTCCTGCAGAACACGGAGGACATTGAGGTGAGAGGGCAAAGGAGACACCCCTCAAGCTCCTCTCCACCTCTGGGTACAAGGAACTCCACATCCGGCAGCTCCAGGGTGTTGGAGCACAGCTTTCCATGTGATGAAGCAACAAGCCGGGTGGGCAGTCACCTGCCATCTTCATGGCCAGATGACCTCTTTATTTCCTGCCCTTTGATTCTAGCCCACAGTCAAGCCATCGATTAGCAAGTTCATGGCTTTTGTCCACACAAGTGTCAACCACACCTCCCAGTCCTATCTGAGCAATGAGCAGCGCTACAACTACACAGCCCCCAAATCATTCCTGGAGTTCATCAGACTCTACCAGAGCCTGCTGTGCAGGAACGGAAGGGAGCTCAAGTCCAAGATGGAGCAGCTGGAGAACGGGCTGCTGAAGCTCCACAGCACCTCCGCCCAGGTGAGCGACGTCCTTCCAGTCCTCCTGCCTTCGGGGGGCTCGAAGGTAGTGGGGAGGCCCCTTTCCAGAGGACTGGAGGACCACAGTCATGGTCTGCAGACCACACACTGCTCTCCAGAGGCCCTGGTGCCATCAGGACAGTGCCGGTGATACCCAAAATCTTTATGAGAGGTCCAGGTTCTTGTTGAACTCATCCAAAAGAGTTTGGGTGAGGAACACAAAACACAAAGGAAAAAACACACACACACACTGAGGAGCAAAGAGAGCAAAGAAGCAGTTTATTCAGTGCAGAAGTGAAAGTTACACAATCAAGAGTTCGGGCATCCTCACAGTGAGGGGCCCACCACAGGTTTTTGTTTGTTTGTTTGTGGTACACGGGCCTCTCACTGCTGTGGCCTCTCCCGTTGCGGAGCACAGGCTCCGGACGCGCAGGCTCAGCGGCCATGGCTCACGGGCCCAGCCGCTCCGCGGCACGTGGGATCTTCCCGGACCGGGGCACGAGCCCATGTCCCCTGCATCGGCAGGTGGACTCTCAACAACTGCGCCACCAGGGAAACCTGCCACAGGGTTTTTTGATCCTCCTTTTATCTTATTTTTAGCCCTTTGAATGGGTGGGGTCTTTTTGATTAGGGATGGAATATTCATTGGGGGAGGGTTGAAGTGTGGCCTGGATGGCACCAGGTTGCATCAACTCCTGGTCCTGCCCATTCATCTCCTGAAGCCACAATACATGCACTCTAAGAGCTGTTTTCCCTTAAATTCTACCTAACTAGTCAAGCGCCACATGTGAAAGGTTGTACAGAGTCATCAGCAACCTGTGCATTTTTATTGCGCATGGTCTGCAGTTTTCATGGTCAGAGTTTCTTGTTCAGATGCTACACAGTTTCTGTTTTAGATGCCATTCCTCCATGCATCATGGCCTCATTAAAAAGCAAAACAAGGTGATATTGCCCTCTGCCTAAGGCCTGGCCCTGTCTTTCCTGCCTCACCAGAAGCCCAGCCGAGTTCTCCAGTGGAAGTGCACATCCCCAGCTGCAGTTTGAAGCTTCCTCTCACTGGTACAGGAATCCCCTGAATCTCCTCTTCCCTCTTTCTGTTTATCACCTCTTCCTTTTCCTCTACTTTCTTTTCCTCTCCAACACATAGTCCTTTCATCATCAAAACCCGAAGAGATGAATGGCTGGGAGAAATGGTTGCAGGGTTATACCAATTTTCTTTTGTTTCTTGTGTCTTACAGTGTAATCTGTCAAAGAGCCATTGGAATCTAATTTCTTAAACAAATCCTGTCTCATATCATGCGTTCCCTCAAATGTTCCTAAGTGGTTGGCCATCAGAAGAAGGCCCCTGTTGTCTTGTCCTTGTTTTGTTTTTCTGCTTACTCTTCCAAATGGAACGAATCTATTTCAGTTAATTTACTGTCCTTCCCTTGAGAGCTGGGAACAGCTCTAGCGCCTTCTCTGCCCTGTCCATGCCCATCAAATATTGCTGGTCCCTCAGTGGCCCCTTTTTGTGCTCTGCTTACCAGCCGCAGAGCCGGCCTCTCATTAAGGCAATGAAATTTCATGCATTTGCGCAATTAAACTAAAACTGTAATCAATTTAATTCTTGGGCATCACACGTTCCTCTAGATTTCTAAGCCTTTCATTTACTGTCACTTTCTCAGAGCTCTGCCTTTGGAATAGCTCTATTGAACTTCCTCCTTCTGACTTGCCCTGTCTCCCTACTTCAGTTTCTTGATTCATAGATGTAATGTATCTAAAGGATTTCAGTTCACTTAGTGGGATGCAATGAGCCCTTGCAATCTATACACATGGAATTTCTTCTGCTCGGGAAATTTTTCTTCTATTATCAGCTTTTGCTCATCTGGTCGGGCCTCTCCTCCAGGAGCAATGATGAACTAGATGGGTTCCTTGTGCTCCATATCTATGATCTGCTCCCTCATTGCTTTCCATGCCTTTGGCCTTTTCCTCTACATTCTAGGAGAGCTTTTCAAGTTTATCCTCAACAATACTAATCTAATCGTGGGCAATATTGCTTCTGCTTCTTAGGCTTCCAGTGAAAACTTTAACTACACTATTACATTTTCAATATCCCCACAGACCTTCCTCATCTCATCCTTTTCCCTTTCCAACGTTACTTTTTTATTTCAGCCTATTTTTCTGCAACTGTATCACAGAAGCCATTCTACCGATGATGCCAAATAGCTTTTCTGATGTCTTTTCTAGATCCAGTAATGGGTCATTTTCAGAGCTGCTTTGCTCATCATAGTCTTCTAGATGCTATTCCTTTCTTTGTCCTGTATTCATATAAAGACATTTTTTTTCCTTTGTTTACCTCCCGGCATGGTGAGATCTGTTCAAACTCGATGTTTGTCAACAAATCGTATGTGACAATTATCTGTGATGCTACTCTCTTTCCATTAGTGTCATGACCAAACCCCCTTCTTAGAGCTACAGTTCAGAGCAGGTTGAGGTACACAGATCCCAGTCCAGGCCCTAGCAGCTTACCTGGCCCACCTTTGTCGGAGAAAGGTAGCATCTTCTTGCCCCAATCCCTTTCTTGTTCTCTCAATCTCTGAACGTCTAGAAAACAGCAAAAGATAGAATCCCAGAATGCAGTACTACCAGATTTATTTTTTAACATCTCTCAGCTCTTCCTCTTCCTGTCTCCCCCAACCTACAGTGCCCTCAGAACATTCTCTATCCCCACCAGCCCCTGTTCTACCTCCTACCCATTTATCCTCTGGGAATTGCTGGTCAGTCTGTGCAAAGGACAATTGCTGGGGAGCAAACAATGGGAAAGATGCTCTGACACTCACAGAGCAGTGCCCAGTATTCTGTCTTGTACAGACCCTGGGGCTTTGAGCAGACAATGAAAGGAGTCTGTTATCCTGTTTTAGGCAATCTCTGTTTAACAAGGAGAAGCCCAGTTATACCGTGAGGTGAATCCAGCTCTATCTGCCATAGTCGGTGGAGAACCCTCCCGAGTCCTGGCATCAGTCTGTTTCTTCTCCTTCTGTCTTCTCTACTTGCATGAATAATATGTCTATCTACCCAGTTACCTACCCCGGCAACTGCAGTGTTATCTTAGACTCCTCCCCTTCCCTCACTTCCCACATTTCAGCGTTAATACATTCTATAAGTTTTCCAAGTATCTCTCAGAGGTACTCTTCTTGCTGTATCCCCCATTTTAGACACTTCTTACCCAGATTATTTCGATAAACTGAACTCTCAAGTGTCTCCCCCATCCCAAGCCTGCTTCACCCACATCCTCTTGCATCATCTATCAGCCAAAATCGTTGAGGTCACCCTTGGCTCTGCTCATGCCTCTGTTTCTCTCACCACCTACAGCCGGTCCATCAGAAAATCACTGCTGGCTCTGACTGCCAACATGCCCAGAATCCCACTGCACCTCCTACACTGCTACTACCCTGGTCTGAGCCACTGACGTCTTTTACTTGGGTAGCTACGATACCATTTAACTAGTTTGTCTGCGTCCACTTTTGCCCCCTGAATAGTCTGTCATCAACTGAGCAGCCAGAGTGAAGTGATCAATTTAAAGCATAGGTATGTCACTTTTTTGTTTAAAACCCTGAGATGGCCCCTATTTCCCTCATTACAATGAGGCTCCTCCCCAGCCCTGTCCTGTTAACTCTCAGACCTCATTCCTACTGTCCCAACCCCACGGCATTCCTCT